TTATGTATTGTCCGTTGACAGCGATATTTTTGATTGCAGAAATTACCAATGGGTATGAGTTGTTTATTCCTTTGATGATAGTATCGTCCATTTCTTTTTTTATCGTAAAAAGCTACGAAACGTTTTCGATGGAAACAAAAAGCCTGGCAATAGATGGACAGATTTTTACCCACAAAAAGGAAAAGAATATACTCACTTCTATCAGGCTGGAAGATATGCTGCAGGAAAACTACCAGAGCATCAGCATGGACAAAAAATTAAGGGACCTGGTGGAAATTATTAAGGTGAGTGAGAAAAATATCTTTGCGGTGCACGATGGGAAACAAAGGTTTGCCGGAATCATCGAATTAAACGATATAAAACAAAAATTATTTCAGGCTGAGTTAATGGATAAAACACCGATAAGGTCAATTATGAAGAAACCAGCTGCCGTTTTAAAGTATAATGAATCCATGCATGAAGTAATGAATAAGTTCGATACTACCCATAGCTGGTATTTGCCTGTGTTAAGCCGCGATAACAGGTTTAAAGGCTTTGTTTCTAAAACCAGGGTATTTGATAAGTACAGGGAAATTCTGTCTGCACAGGGAGATTTGTATGGGTGATTTTCCGTTACTATTTCAATGTACTCCGGTTGCTGATTTATTATGGGAAGAGTTCAATCAGCTGTTCAGGTGTAAAATCTAAATTATTACATGGCACAGAAAATTGTCCCCTTTTGACAACAATAAGTACGGAATGTATTGCTTCAAACGTATATGGGTCGTCGAATGCATACTTATCTATTTCCATCAAGCATTTCTGACAAGCGATTTTTCAAGGTATGCCCATGTTGTTGCAAGATAGTTTTAAAATAAGCAGGAGTACCCAATGAAGCTAGACATTGGTCAGGGTAAACTTTTCTTTTTCACCCGGAATTCTACTATTTGGTTCTTTGATCGAACATTTGATGATCCCAATTTTCAAGTGCTTAATTGGCGCATCAATTTTTCCGTCAAAAGAAGCAATTATATTGAAACAAATGTTTTGTGGTCTTACCATTGGTCGTTGCTGGGATTACTTTAAATTCTGTCATTGTTACTTTTTATTTTTCCAATTGCTTTGCAGCTGGTCATATGATTCTTCACTGATTGTTGATTTCGATTTAGATCTGCTTATTCCTTTTTCTTTTCTGGCCTTTATATTATTAACCAGCGAGTTTTTTACGCCCAGCTTATTTGTTGTGGTTTTTTTTGAACTTGCCATAATTTATTTTTTTTATGAAAAACAAATTACGTGCCCACAGGGTGTTTAACAAAAGGCCAGATTGTCAAATTAAACATGCAACGCTTCTGGATGCAACAATGAACCCCGGACAACTTGTGTGCAAATAATGCCACTAAAATGCCAATGTCAGTGGAATTCCTTTACCTCTTTTGTCCGGCAAAGGAATAATCCAGATGGCAAAATGAGGCGTCTGTTTGACCGTTTGTGGACAATCTGGCAAATAATATATCAGAATTTACTTTCGAATAACTGGTAATTGTATGTGGCACGACAATTACCCCCAATAATCACATCCTCCTTCGCTGATCTGTAAACTACAGGACAGGCGCACCCAGTTTTGATGTATTTCTTTGTGCAGTAAAAATACACCACAATGAAAAAATATTCAAGGCGCCTGGCGGCGCAGCTTAGTAGTAAAACATTTTATGAACAGGCGCACGCACAGCGCCTGACCGGCATTTTTTTAAAACTATTCTTCCTTTTTTTTACAGCCATGATGCTGGTGGGACTGGCCAGGGCACAGTCAACGGAGGGAAAACCTTTTGTGAATGTAAACGGACAGGGTGTAATACTGGATGGCTATGATGCCGTAGCATTTTTTACTGATAACAAACCCGTAAAAGGAGATCCCCAGTTCCAGTTCAGCTATGATGGGGCGGTTTATTATTTTGCCTCCACAGCGCATCAGGCACTATTTAAAGCCAATCCCGAAAAATATAAACCGCAGTTTGGAGGCTATTGCGCTTATGCCGTTTCACTCGGACGCGTAGCACCCATTGATGTGAATACTTTCTCTATTGTGAACGGAAGACTGGTACTGCAGCACAATGAACGGGCTGTAAACGGGTGGAACAAAGATGTTCAGGGCAACCTGCAACTGGCAGATAAGTATTGGCCGGCAGTAATAAAAAATGAGGGTAAACAAATAAAGACAGATGCGGAAAACGCATTCTATAACAATACAAATGATGACGGTATTGTAATGAATGGTTATGATCCGGTTGCTTATTTTACAGATAAGCAGGCGATAAAGGGTGATAGACAATTTTCTGCCCGCTACAATGGTGCTACTTATTTATTCGCATCGGCACAACATGCGGACATGTTTAAAGAACAACCGGATATGTATGCGCCCCTCTATGGGTCATTCTGCGGGTATGCCATGGCTTTTGGCAGAAGGCGCCCCGTTAACCCGGAATACTGGAATATTGTGGATGGTCACCTGGTTTTGCAGCATTCTAAAGGCGCATGGGATTTATTCAATAAAGACATCCCCAGGTTCAAAATGCAGGCCGATGAGCAATGGCCGCCAATTATGAAAGCGAATGCCGGGAAGAAAGTAAAATACGACCGGCCAGTATAGCTTATTCACCCATTTATGACCTGTAACAGCATTGAGCGCTGCCCGCTGCATGCGCTGATACTTTAAATAAAATATATAATGAAAAAGACAATTCTTTTTATAGTCCTTACGCTGGTGATAACAGCTGCCTGTTCTGCACAGCTGATCAGCACTAAGAATATTTCCCTGGATGTGGCCAAAAAACTTGCTGCCGAAGCGGTTAAGTATGCTAAAGCCAATGGTGCACCCGGTGCCGCCATTGCTATTGTTGATGGCGGCGGCCATCTTGTTTACCTGGAGAAACTTGATAATACGTTTTCCGCAGCAGCTGAAGTAGCTATTAAAAAAGCCAATACAGCAGCATTGTTTAAAGCCCCTTCTTCAAAACTGGAAAACAGTATTAATGGCGGACGGCAGGCATTGATTACTGTTGGGCATACATTTCTGCAGGGAGGAGTGCCTATTGTGTTTGAAGGACAGGTGGTAGGTGCCATTGGTGTAAGCGGAAGTGCCAGCGCACAACAGGATGAAGACATGGCCATTGCTGCGGCTAAAGTTTCAATTAACTGACTTGCCTGACGGTTTGTTGTTTATAACCGTTGAGATTTATCTAATCAACATTATCATAAGGGTATGAAAATAAATTTTATAATGGTTGCTGCTGCCTTATTGCTTTTTCTGCATGCCGGCGCACAGGAGACAAGGCAGTTGGCACTGGATAAGCCACAGGCTATTGCCGATCTCAGAACGGTAGCCGGAGCCGCCCTGGTAGATGCCCAATGGTTTGTACAACCTGCGCATATTACGGAGGCTGATTTTAAATCGCCCGGCCGTTCGGCCACCGATGCTATGCTGCTTTATCCAACAGGTGCGGCGGTAAAAACCCATACGCTGCATCCGCAAATAGATGCGGCTGATTTCAATGCAGGTTTTCGCGCTGTTAAACCAACCGATCTTGAAATGAGGGAGGGTATGGGACTTGTTTCTTTTGTATGGTTTAAAGTGGAGCTTACTATACCTGCCACCATTGGTAAATTGACTACTGAAGGCTCCACGGCTGTATTTGAAATGGTAGTGGATGATTACAGCGAGATATGGGTAAACGGCCGGCAATCGCACAGCTTTGGGCAAAGTGGTAATGGCGTGGTGCCGGGGTACAACACACGTAACAGGGTGGTGCTCACCAATCATGCAAAGCCGGGTGACCATTTTTCAATTGCCGTGCTGGGTATCAACGGACCACTGGGCAAGATTCCCGACAATTATATATGGGTGCGCAATGCAGTAGTAGATTTTTATACAGTACTGCCGGGGAATACAGCCTGGAAGGATATGGGTAAAATTTATACCATAGACACGGTTTTAAATAGCATCATCGCACCCGGCACAAAGGTGGAAAAACTGGCGGAGGGGTTTTCTTTTACCGAGGGCCCGGTATGGCATCCCGATGGTTATTTGTTGTTCAGCGATCCCAATACCAATACCATCTACCGTTATAATCCTGTTGACCACAATGTAACCGTATACATCAGCCACAGCGGCTATACAGGCGCAGATATTGGAATGTACGGTCAACCTGGATCAAACGGTTTGGCTATTGACAAAGAAGGCCGTTTAATTGTTGACCAGCACGGCAACCGAAGGGTGGTAAGGCATGAAAAAAAGGGACCAGTGACCGTGCTGGCAGATAATATTAACGGCAGGCGGTTTAACAGTCCCAACGATATTGTATTAAAAAGCGATGGCAGTATTTATTTTACAGATCCACCCTACGGTTTGCCTGGATTTTTTAATGATGTTCATAAAGAGCTGGATTATTCAGGTGTATTCCTGCTTAAGGATGGCAGGGTACAATTGGTAAGCAGGGATTTGGGTGGGCCTAACGGACTGGCATTTTCGCCCGATGAAAAATACCTCTATGTTACGAACTGGGATATACGTGACATCCATCATACCAAGACGCTGTGGCGCTATGAAGTGCAGGCCGATGGAACATTGAGAAACGGCAGGGTATTTTTCGACTGGAATACTACTGAGGACGAGGAAGCGCTGGATGGAATGAAGGTAGACAGACAGGGCAATCTGTTTGTATCGGCACCCGGTGGTGTTTGGGTGCTGTCGCCTTCCGGCAAATTACTGGGCAAAATAGTAACGCCGGAGCGGGCGGCCAATATGGCCTGGGGAGAAGATGGTAAAACGCTCTATCTTACTGCACATACAAGTTTGTACCAGGTAAGGGTAAATACAGGTGGTAAGTTTAGTTGGGAATAAGTTAAAATATGTCCAATACCGGTGAGAGGAAAGCAAGCGCTTTCCTTTTTTTTGATGAATGCCGTATAGCTGACAATTTAATCCTTGCGTGCTGTATAGATTAGCAGTATCATTCAAAAAATTAGTTATGTCTTTACCTGTATTTAAAAACCGGCAGGTGCTTATTACTGCCGGCCCCACTAAAGAGGCCATAGATCCTGTGCGGTTTATCAGTAATCATTCATCCGGGAAAATGGGTTATGCAATCGCTGCCGCCTGTTTGGCCCAGGGGGCTTTTGTTACACTTGTAACCGGTCCGGTTGGCCTGGAGCTGGAGCACCCCCATCTTATTAAAATTAAGGTGGAGTCTGCTACCGACATGTGGATTGCCTGTCAGCAGTATTTTGCTTTAACGGATATTGCCATTTTTGCTGCAGCGGTGGCCGACTATCGCCCGGAGATGGTGGCAATACAAAAAATAAAAAAGCAGGAAGATAGTTTCACCATTAAAATGGTGAAAAACGTTGACATAGCCTATGAGTTTGGAAAAGTGAAAAAAGCATCACAAGTGGCTGTGGGTTTTGCATTGGAAACAGAAAATGAACTGGTACACGCCACTGTTAAATTAAAGAAAAAGAATTTTGATATGGTGGTACTGAATGCTGTAAACGATGCCAATGCAGGTTTTGGATTTGATACCAATAAAATTACCATTGTTAAAAACGATGGAAGCATTATCCCCTATGCATTGAAAAATAAAACCGAGGTAGCCGCCGACATAATAGAGCAGGCCGGCATTTGCTTTGCACTTAAAACTGAGGAGGTAATGAATGAAAATGTGTCGGCGTATGAAATGATGTACCGGTAAACCGCAGTAGTAATCAAACAGGTATAATGGAAGTATATTTGAATGGATTACTGCGTTTATTTTACAGCCATGCAATCAGCTGTAGTAAGATCAGGAAATAGCAGCTCGCGTTTTGAGATGTGGGCAATCTGGCTTTTACTGCTGTATAAGACAATCCAGTCGCCGTATTGTACGGCTTCAGCTTCCAGCGAGACCGGTTCGGCCACAAAATCCTTTACCGCTTCATTCATTTTTTCTCCGTGTGGGCCTACCAACAGGTAGTAGTTGGCTCTACCTGAAGCGTTCACTACACGCAATACCGGCGGTACGCCACCCAGGATGCAGCGTATAGCACAGTCTTTATGGGGTTTGCCCTGCCCCGGTTTCATTACGCCAAAATAACACTTGGGGTCTACAATTTCTCCTTTGATAGTCATTTTCCCCAGATCCTTCTTCTCCGGAAATAAGTCGCTTGCAACATTAGCTCCAATAGCCTTAACAGGATTTTCACTGCTGTCTACCTGCAGCAATAATTTGCCATCGTTGTACAGCAATGTTCCTTTAAGTGTTATGGCTTTCTGGTGAAGGGATGTATTTGCTTTTCTTTCAATGCCTGCTATAAACCTGTCGGCGCCCATTTTACCAAAACCTACCAGGGGAACAGTAATATATGATAGCCTGCCAGTAACATCCCTGCCATTCATTACTTTAATTAGTGGTACCGGTTCATTAAAATAAACGCCTTTAATCTCTGTAAGAACACCAAATTCAAAATTGCCGGTGGAAAATTTCTTCTGGAACAAGCTCAATGAAATACCGGCTGCTATCACACCTGCCAGTAATACCAGCAATGTAATCCTGGTATGCCTGGCAAATGAGGCAGGCGACTTTGACATCCATCCTATATAAAACTCGTTGTTCATATTTTTTATTTTAAATAATAGTAACGCCCGGCCTTTCTGTTCCTTCCGGGAAGGGAGCGGGATTTAACCAAACGGCGGTTCCTTCTACTCTGATATCATAGGTGTTTACTCTTTCTTTAAATGGTGGCGGTGACTGGCCATTATGCGGCAGGTACTGGTAGCCATGCCAGGGGCAAGTGATGCAGCCATCAATGATTTTCCCCTCGCCCAATGGGCCACCCTGGTGTTTGCAGACATTGTGAATAGCGAATAGTTGGTTATTGAATTTGTAGATGGCTATCCTTTCCTGGCCAATACAAAATATTTTGGCCCTGTCTGCTTCCAGCGCGTTGGTTTCGCAGACATAAAAATATCCTTCCTGCCGGAGTTCATAGCTGATATTGTCTTTTTTTACCTCCCTGCTGCCCGCTGCCAGGTGGAGTGTTACCAAAGTAGCAGCGCCGGCGGCCATCAAAATGATAAATACCGGATGCGTTTCGTACTGGACCGCGCCCAGCATTACATGCAATACTATCAGTAAATAAGCCAGGTATACAAACATGTGGAGGGCCTTCCAGGTTTTGGGCGATAAATTATGCAGCCAGAAATCATGGCTGGTAGCGGCCATTATCAACAGGATGACCAGCGCAAAAAATCCCAGTGCCTGGAAAGGGAACTGTGGTAAGGATCCAAACTGTGTGTTGGAAATAAAAAGGGAAACGAAAAGATTTGTATTGCCCAGCGCATGGAATTGGAAAATACTGAAACTGCCGTGTACCAATGCAATGGTAAACATGGTTACTCCCATGTGGCGGCGGTTGTAAAGCAGCGGCAGGAATTTATGGTTGAGCCGGCACAGCGGGCCGATGCTTAGTATAACATGCAGCAGCAACAGGGCCAGAGTTGAAGTGGATCGAATAAGCGCTGTTTCAAAAGTATAATCAGGATTACTGATGGCGGTTACTCCGATGAACAGCAGCAGGTAAAGGCTGCAGAAACCGGCCATCAGCCAGTCATAATATTTTTTCTGCCGGTTCCAGCCAACGGCTGTATAAGATGCACTCATAAATTATTTTTACCTGCGCGGGATGTTTAAAAATGAATTCTGTCTATTACCTGCACATGTACAAAATCATACAACAATAGCTCGCGGATGGAGGCAGCATCAGCAGGAAGTACAAAATGATAGGTTCCCATGGCTTCAATCCGGCCAATCAGTTGCCCATTCTTTACATCAGCAGATCCTTCCGGTACACTATAGATGGTGCAGGTAGGTACTGAAAGAATCCGTTTATTTATCCATTCCAGCTGGAAACTGCTGTTGTTGTCTTTCCTGATATGCACGGTGTAGTTATTGCTTTCGGCAGTTTTCACAATTACCGGGTAGGCTGCTGTAGTGGCTGGTTGCAGCAGTTTATCCGCTGCTGTTTTGGGTGTAGCCAGCCTTGCACCGACGATTCCTGCCGGTAACAGCACCATCAGCATTGACCAGATCTGTAAATGTCTTTTTCTTAAACTTTTAATCATTATGAGAAGTTTATTGCAGTTAATGACCGGTGGAAAACTAAGGTTGCCGCATTTTTAGCCATTTTTTTAACAGCAATGGCCAAAGCAGGGTAACGCCCGGCAGGATGATGATACGGAAACCGATACCAGTTCCCCTGGCGCCTTCGTCTATAACTGTGATTCCTTTAGTAAGAAAAAAAATGGCAAATACCAACCCGCAGAACAGGTAGGCGGCTGTTACCAAAAGACAAATGACAATAACGGTTTCCATTTTTTATTTTTCTATCAGTAATACACTGTTAAAGCCCGACAAGCCGTCCGGTTCACGAAAAGGGTTGTCCGTATCCTCTAACCAAATCCGCTCATCAATCAAAAATTTGTAATGGTACCTGCCTGCCGGTAATAGCGGTATTTCTATTTTCCACAGTCCGTTTTTATGCGGCTCCATCAACAGCACATCCTGGGCCCAATGATTAAAGGAGCCGGCCAGTGAAATCTGCGATGCACTGGTATTGTGTACAATAAACTCAATGGATTTTTTCTTTTTATTGATATAAGGAGATTCATGCTGTTTCATAATTTCCTCCCGTTTTAACACTTGTAAAATGGCTTTTCTTGGTTGAATAACACCAAATCCCTGCCGCTCTGCTGCTATTTTTGGGATTCGTTTTGCAGACGAAAAAAGAATACTGCGGATATTGGCGGGCGTAAGTGACAGGTTAATTTCGAGTAATTGTGCAATAACAGCACAGACAATGGGTGCGGCAAAGGAAGTACCATCAACATGCATATAGTGCGGCGAAATATATTTACACTGCTGTATACGGCTTATAATGGATGCTCTGACATAATCTATATCAGCTGTGCTTTTAACGGCCGGATCTAATTGTGTATGATGTATGCTTTCCTGCAAGCGGTTCAGTAATACATCATTGCTGGTATTCACCAGCTCATATAAAGTTACAGCTTCTTTTTGTTCCCTGGTACCCGGTAATAAAGGGGCCGCAATCCATATGGCATGGGCCAGCATTTCGGGTTTCATTACGGCATCGGCTGTTTTACCGTAAGCCGAATGATAGGCTGACTGGTTTTGACTGAGCTGATTATCATCGTCAAGACCACCTACGGTTATTACATGGAGGGCATTGGCGGGTGGTTTGATTTGCGAATTTTCATCATTGCCAACCGCTGCCACCACTGTAATGCCTGCTGAAATCAACGCTTCTGCCAGCTGGTCTATTTCACTTTCATGAGAAGAGACCGCTTCATCATCACCCAGGCTCATGTTTACAATACGAATACCATATTGCCGGTGATGATGCAGTACCCATTGCAAAGCTTTTACAATATTTTTCCTGCTGATGCTGCCTTCCTTATCCTGTACTTTTACCAGCACCAGTGCTGCATCACTCGCGATGCCTTTGTACAGGCCATTGCTAAGCAGGCCATCGCCGGCACATACCACACTGGTCATCGTGCCATGCCAGTTTCCTGCCGCGGCACCTGCCATGGACGCTGTATCGCTGGACGCGCCGTTCTCCAGCGTAATATCTATCATGGCTTTAATCCTGTTCCGGTGTGTTGTTATATCGGGATGCGGATGAAAACCGCTGTCAATAAAACAAATGGTTACGCCTTTCCCGGTGAAGCGCGGATCTACATCCAGGCGCAGGCCGGTAGGCAGTATCACAAAATCATCGGCACTCTTAATAGAGAAATGGGGCCCAATTTCCGGCAATATCCGCTGTTCGCGGATGACTGCGGTATGGTAGTAGTCTACACAGCGGCTGCAAACGCCATCGTTTTCTGTCCAGGCAGGGTGTTGTTCTTTAAGGCGTTCGATCACCAGTCTTTCGCTGTCTATATGAAAACGGTAAAGCAGCCTGTCTACTGTATCATTACACAAGGGACATATTAGCTGTTGGCTGGCATTCATACCACACAAAGAAACAACAGTGCATGAATGTTAATTGTCGGGCGTTTGACTAATACAGTTTTATTTTGCCATTTCCATTACCAGCAAGGCATGCCCGTCTTTATCTCTCACAATAAAAGCCCTGGTTTGTTTTCCTTCTCTTGTTTTCAGGGTTACCAATCCCTTTGAAATAAAGCGGGTGCCGGCGTCCTTCAGTTTTTTGTACAATATAGCTGCGTCATCTACTACCAGGCTGGTTTGCCAGTGCCAGATATCATCTGTTCTGGAATCTGCCGGATAAGGTTTGCCGGGACCCGGTTGCAGGTATTCAAGAAATTCAATACCTGGCCCTGCTGCTGCGCGCAGACCGGTGATGTGCAGGCTGGCTCCCTCTACAAAATTCAGGTGCGCCTGTTCCATGCCCATATTCCAGCTGTCGCCCTTGCGCACAAGGCCCAGGATGTGCTGGTAGAGATGCAGGCTGCTGTCAGTATTGCTAACCGCAATGGCTGTATGATCAATACCCATGAACAGCTTTCCTTTTGTCTGCTGCCATTTGGGCTGGCCCTTGCCTGCCGGGAAATAAATCAGCTCCAGGCTGTGCATGTCCGGGTCATGAAAATAGAATGCTTTCACCCCTGCCGCTGCGGTATTGCTTTCAGGGATGGTTTGTGGTGCTGTTGACACCTGCATCACCATTTTTTTTCTAAGTATATTGTAGGCTTTATCCATGTCGCTAACCACAATTGCAATATGTTGGAAAATAAGGTCGTTGCTCATGGCATTTTCAGGGATGGATCTGCCACCGCTGGTGAGGTAATCTGTCAGGTCAATACTTTCATCACCCAGCTGCATCCGCACAACACGTATGCGCAAACCAAACAGGCCCTGCAACTCCTCGTATGGGGTGCCAAATATTTCCTGATCACTGATTTTTTTAAAGCCTAGCACATCCCTGTAAAATTGTATGGATCGCTCCATATTGCTTACCGTTATACCCACCGTGGATACTTTTTTTACCTGTGCAGAAAGTGCTGAGTGTATCAAGCTGGTGACAATGACTGCTGCCAGCAGTTTAAATATCGGGTTCATCATATATTATTAATCGGGTTAAAATAATCAGTTGATTTCTTTTATGCTGCTTTCTTCAGTCATTTGTGCTTCATTAGCACAGTTTTTAAAAATAAAACTGGCGCAAAGCATTCCCGCCACCGGTACCAGCAGATATATCCAGAAAGCAGTATATATATGTGCGGGTACAGCTGCCGCGAAACTGCGGGCAGGGTTCATACCAAATCCGCTTACCGGGCCGGCAAGTATCACATACAGGCAAACCAGGCAGCCTGCCATCAACCTTGTATAATTTTTAAGCGTATTGTGTGCAGAGGTGAGTAATACCATGGCCATGGTGATAAACGCTATAGCAAACTCTACCAGTAAAGCCGGAATTATACCATATTTACCCGGTATGGTGACCACCGAATGAACGGGCGCAGCTGTTAATGATGGACCTAATAGCCATTGCATCAGGTAGACAGCTGCGGTGCCACCGGCAAATTGAAACAGGATATAGAAGACGGCATCCCAGTGACATATTTTACCGAGCTGTAAGAAAGCCAGGGTGACGGCCGGATTGATATGTGAACCAGAGGGGCTTGTGAATGGGCTATAGAATATAAACAGCGCTGTTGCTCCCATCAAAAGACCCATTACTACAGTGCGCAGGAAATTATGCGGAATGGCCAGGTGTAAGAGACCCTCTTTCCCTTCCAGCAGGGCGCCAAAAAAGCAGGCTGAGATCATGAAAATTGCCAGCCCCAGCGCTTCCTGCAAATAATGCTTCCAGTTCTTCCGAAAGGAAGCTTTCAATTGTGTTAAGCCTCCTTTACCGGTAACGATGCGTATGGGCATTGCTCTCATAGCGTAAAGAGAAAATAATATTGTAAAATCGATTGTCAGTTACCTGACTGCAGCGATGATTTTGATGCCGCCGGGTGTATATGTGTAAGCTCCCGTTCAAGGAAGTAATTCAATAAGGTCCTGATGACGGCAATCGCGGCCAGTTTGCCGATATCATTCCAGCTGGGCGCCACTGCTGTAGCCAATACGTCGGCACCCAGCAACAGTTCCAGGGAGACGGCCACCGAACTTCCAAAATGTATACGGATGGTTTCTTTGGTAATTTTTGCTGCCGGCTTTTTCAGTAAGGAAATATAAGTGTACAAAGTATTTATTACAGCAATGCCGATGATAACAGCTGCCAGTATTTCCACTGCATGACTGATAGTGAGGGCGATATTTTTTGCCAATTCTTGCATTTGTGATAGGTCCCCCGCGAACAGAGGACCTTTTTTAAACAAACCAACTGCTGTATGAAAAGAAGATTAACTGGTAACAGGGGATAAATTCTGCTGCAGCGGTTTCGGTGATAAAATATGTTTAATTATATGTTCACTGACCCTTAACGCATTGGCAGCAATGGTAAGTGCGGGGTTGAAAGCGCCGCAACTTGGAAAGAAACTTGCATCCGTTACGTATAAATTGTCGATATCGTGTGCCTTGCAATTAATGTCAAGCACCGAGGTTTTGGGGTCTGTACCAAATCTGAGGGTACCATTCTGATGGCTCATGCCGCTTATGTCCAAATCGTAGCCAGCCCATTGAACATCCCTGTAATCTGGATCCAGTTCACCCAACTGTGTAAAAATCTGCTTTAGTTTTTCTTTTAATTTTTCGTAGGCAGTGTAATTCGTCCTGGTATAATTTACTTTGATGCTCCCGTCTTCGCGTAATGTAACCCGGTTGTCTGTTGCGGGTAAATCTTCTGCTGTCAACCAGAAGTCAATAGTCATTTTTTTCAACTCCTCATATGTTTTTCCGGGGGCAATTTTCTCTGCCAGCCAAACAATGGTGTCAGCGTCATTTCTTCCCATCAACTGTATTTCTCCCAACGGGTACGGGCTGTCAGGAGCGCCAAAATAAAAATCAGCCAGGCCCAGACTTTTCTGGAAGACACAATCATTTTTTTTCTTTGTAAATGCAACAAGGCACCCGTTGTGGTGCAGCATTAAATTCCGCCCTACCTGGCCGCTGGAATTGGCCAGACCATGAGGGTGCATTTTGTTGGCGCTCCGCAACATCAATGCAGCGCTGTTCACCGCACCGCAGGCGACAATAACCAGATTTGAAGTAAATGACATCCGTTCGCCTTTCACCAGTGCTGTTACTTTCTCAATCGTTCTGCCGTCGGCACTGGTCTCCAGCTTTTCAACATAGGCATGGGTAAGCATCGTAACGTTTTTATTGGCAAGTGCCGGCCGCAATGCAACTGATTGTGCATCGGCTTTGCTTTCAGTTGGATCAGGGAAACCGTCAAAGTTTTCAAGGACCACCGGGGTTTCTATAGCACTGTAGTCCTGGGGTAGTTGCACGCCCATGGGTAATGGGAATGGCTGTAACCCTATCTGCTGCAATTTCATTGCTAAATCAGCTACCATTGGCTCGTATGCCAGCGGCGGATGAGGGTATATATCAAGGGTGGCGGGTTCTGTGGGATCGATACCGTGTTTGCCGTGCACGTGGTAAAGTTGCTCAGCTTCGCTGTAATAGGGCGCAAGCACATTGTACTGAAGCGGCCATGCAGGGGAAATACCTCCATAGTGCACCGATTCCATAAAGTCTTTCTCGCGGAAACGGAAGAGTGCGGCACCATACATTTTACTGTTTCCACCAACATTATAATGTATAAAGGGTTTAAAAGGTTTATCGTCTGCATCGTACCATGCTTCATTGGGCCGGTAACGTCCGGCAGTAACCACTTCATGCGGATCCCAATTTTGTTTCTCTTTTGGGATGAAACCTCCGCGCTCCAGGATAAGTATTTTTTTGCCGGTTTTTGCAAGTGCCAGGGCAGTAGTAGCGCCGCCGCTTCCGGTACCTATAATAATGATATCGTACTGGTTGGTCATAATAGAATTATTTATTGTAAGCAGGTGCTGAATCTGTAACGTAAAGAGACAGCATAATAGCAAAACATACTGTCGGCTGCTTTACTGGTTACAAATAATTTTATTATGGCATTAAAATTTTATAAAAAAATAGCTTTGTCTTTTATACGACCATTACCCAAATCACGGTGTACTAGCTTTGATGTATAAAATTTAATGATAGTATGAAAAAGTTAGTATTTGCAGCGGTGTTCCTGCTTTGTATTGCAACCGGTTCTTTTGCGCAGAAGTCGGCGGTATTCAATCCTTCGGAAGGCGCCATTCACGGGTACGATCCGGTAGCTTATTTTACAGAAAGCAAGGCCGTGAAAGGGGAAAAGAAATTTGCTTATACCTGGAATACCGCTACCTGGTATTTTGCCAACCAGCAAAACCTGGACACATTCAGGGCAAACCCGGAGAAATTTGCACCACAGTACGGCGGCTATTGTGCTTATGGATTAGCAGACGGCCACAAAGCACCCACCGATCCGGAAGCCTGGACGATTGTAGACAACAAGTTGTACCTGAACTATAACAAAAACGTTCAGCAGTCCTGGAAAAAGAAAACGAAGGAGTATATAGAGACTGCTGATAAAAAATGGCCTTTACTGAAAGACAGGGAATAAATAATAAAGCAGTGGCGTTAGGGTTGGGGCTGGCGTCAATGCCACCCCTTTTTTATTAAAAGCAGTTTCGTGTAAAATAGCTGACTGGGCGAATGTCGTTATTAACCAGCTTGCATGAAAACACAGGGTTAATTTGTAATGCCGTTATATTGGCTGTTTCACTTATATCACCCTGGACCGCCGCTGGTGCTTAGTTTTGTGATGTGGATATACTGGTTGTGCTTTTTTTAGCCAACCCTGTCTGAGCGGAAAAGAAAGGCAAAAGCGTAAATGACTATTTTAATGCCAGTCCAAATGATGCAAGGGCGCCGATAATATTTAGCAGGCAATGGGTTGATATGGCTACCCTGAGGTCTTTGGTTTTCCAGGTTATGTACACCATGGGTAACAGCGACAGCATTAACGTAAGGTAAATATAGGGTTGCCAGAAGTGATAAAGAGAGAATAGCACAGTGCTAATTACAAAGGACCATTTCCCAAACGCATTCATTCTCGGCAGCAGGTATCCCCTGAAATAAAGTTCCTCAAGAAAAGGGGCTGCTATGCCATTCAGTAAAAGGTTTATCACCAGCACTAATTTTATTTTGCCCGGGTCATAGCCTCTAAAATCCTGAATGGTATACCAGCCAGGTAACCAGCTGAGTAACTTAGCGCTGATCCACATATTGAGCGGTTGGGTGATGGCCCAGATGATAAAAGCAATCACCACCAATAGCAGCACGTACATAATGAGTTTGCCCATGGGCAATCGCCGGTTGAAGCCATTAAGTGAAGTAATATTTGTCAGTCCTTCCATATTTTTAGCGGCCACCAGGTGCAGCATTAAAACCGGCAGGGCTACCAGCGCTACAGAGAGCAAAATTCCCATCTGTGCAGGATAACCGTTCTGTATAATTGCGGGTGTAACCAATATGTATATACTGGTGATTGCTATGCCCGGATACAGGTGAAACAGGATAGATCTAAGAAGGGGTATTTGTTTCATTCTAATCAATTTGCACTTGCCGGCGGGGTTTCTGAAGTTCAGTTTGTGCAGTATCTCCAGCGCCGTATTTAAATAATGTATGTTCTGTTATAACCCTCAATAATTCTGCTACTCCCCAGGCCTGTGCTATGCAACCCCTGGGATGATGAGGTGCCTCAGCATCAAAGATTTCAGATACACTTCCCATGCAACATTCACTAATATGGTAGCTGAATGCATTAATTACTTTAATGGCTTTTGTTGTTGACTGCTGAACTTTGATCAGTGCATCTATATAAGACCCCAGCAGCCAGCTCCACACCGTTCCCTGGTGGTAGGCTGCATCCCTGTGGTAAGCATCACCACCATAGGCAGGTATATAGCGTACATCTGTCTTAGGAAGCGTTCGTAATCCCACAGGCGTATACAGTTGATCTTCTACTGCCTGTAAAGCCATTTTTGCCTTTTCTCCTTCAATTAGTGGAAAGGGCAGACTGATGGCGAAAAGCTGGTTGGGGCGTAGGTCGGGTATCGGTTCTCCGTTTTCATTAATAAGATCATAGAGATAGCCGCCACCTGTGCACCAGAATTTATTGGTGAAGCTGTTCTTTACCTGATGCGCGCTGGTAATTACCTGCGCCGCATCTGCGTCTTGTTTGTTTAATAATAATAAGCGGGCAAATATCTGCAGTGCATTGTACCAGAGCGCCTGTATTTCCACTGGCTTGCCCATGCGCGGTGTAACTACCCAGTTGTCTATTTTTGCATCCATCCAGGTGAGTTGCTGCCCCTGTTCGCCTGCGTATAACAGGCCATCTTCATCCACATGAATATTAAACCGGGTTCCGTTAAAATGCCAGTCAATAATTTGTTTTAAAACAGGCAGGATGTCATTCAGGATAAAATGAGTGTCGCCCGTTACTTCAAGATATTTATGCACAGCAATAAAGTACCAGAGGGTCCCGTCTACATTGTTGTATTCCGGTGGCTCATTGTTATCCTGGAATCGGTTGGGCAGCATGCCCATGCTGATACTGTGGGCGAACGCGGAGAGTATTTTTTTGGCATCTGTAAAACGGCCGGTGGATAAACACAGGCCGGGTAAGCTAATCATGGTATCACGTC